TTCTTACACAAGTTACACCTTTTCAATGAAGACAATACACACCAAAAATCCGATCGCAGAATTTTCGTCAATAAATTAGCTGTAGCCGTCGTCCTTAGTAACGTACCGGAAACAGTTCAAAATGGCATCATGAAACGAAAGTGGGAGCACGTTTTTCTAAGAAAACGGATCATAACTACAAAAATACATGGAATTAAACATTGTTACTTGGCAAAACAGTGACTTAAATAATTTACAAACAATAACAATAGGATTTATAATCACAGGTAACGAGTGAAAGTGACAATTCCCCTCAGAAGTTAGATTGAGCTGCACATCGTGAAATGGAGGATAAACAAGGAAAACATGTTGGATAAAAAGGATAGATAAAATCTGGCTCATAACCCGTATACATGGGTTGGTGTTTTGATTTCTAGTAAAACACAGCTCATTATAAGTTTTATGGCTAGAAAATGTCAACATATCCTCACTATTAAAGATTAGAAGAAAAGTAATTTCTCAAGTTCAAGTCAATTAAGGTAAGGAGTTGAGTTCATGCAGTTCAGTTATGTTACAGTTATAGTTGAAAATTTCAGATCACTACAATATTTGCAAGAATAACATTTTTGACACTATTTCTAGGTCCATACCGTTTATAATTCTAACAGTTTTATTTTGATAATTTTGAAGCTTACTTTTAAAACTTGTTCAGACTCGGGTACCAAGAAGAACATGCATAATCGAGGTGACAGTGTACTAATGCTGAGCATAAATATTTTCTAGTCCTAAAATCTAAAACATTTGCTTGCCTATACAAAAACTTAAGACGTGTAAAGACGTGTATTTACCTTTGTAAGAATACTATTTACAATAGACTCACCTGACAAAGAATCGTCAATATTTAAACCTAGATATTTGACAGATTTTGTGGAGTCAATAATAACAAACAATTTTAAACTTGTTTCAGTTAACGTTTGGAACAAAACATTAGGCATTTAGTCTTTCCTGGATGAAGTGACAATTTGTTATCTACAAGCCAAGATGAATAAAACTCTAGTGTTTGTCCAAGATTTTGAGAAATAATACTTATATTTTTGTTAGCAAAAATTATTGCACTGTCATCGGCATACAGAATAAGCTTACATTATTTATCTATATTAATTCTCATGTCATTTCTATAGCACAAAAAAGAGGACACAGGATGCTACCATGGGGAACCCCACATGTAACAGGCATATAATCTGATAAAATATTATCAACACCAACAGTTTGTTTTCTACCTTTAAGATAATATATAAACCAGTCAGTATTTGAGATACCCATCAATTTCAGTTTTCCATATAAAATATCATGGTCAACAAAATCAAATGCTTTTTGTAGGTTTAACATTACCACGCCTGTATATAAACTTTTTGAATTATTACTTCTGATGTGATCCATATGATGGATAAGAAAAGTGTCAGTGGAATAGGAATTTCTAAAACCTGACTGTATTTCATACAATAAACCATTATCAACTAAAAACGTTTCAAGTTTATAAGAATTAAATCATGTTCCAATGAGTATTAAAAAAACAAATACGACTTGAATACTTTTATACAGACACCAATTCATAAAAGTCACTAGGCTGAAAAGATTCGAAATATATTATTTTCATAGTTTATTTAGAAGGAAGAAGGGATAATAAAGATGTAAGTTAGGTAGTTTATACAGAACTTTATTTTGCTTTTAGGTAGTTTTTATTCTTTTATTATTAACTTTTTGTGTGTGGGCGTGCGTGTGCCTGGTGGAGCGTAAAGCTGATAGAAACACTTTCGAATACAGAGCAATGCCTTGCCACTAACAGGGTTTGAACCCAAACGGCTAATCTTTAGATTACTGGTCCGATGCAAAGACAATCGTCGCTATTCGACCACACACTGTGTATATTTTTTGCAGACTGTAACAATGGGTTTTTTGGAAGATATGGCTGTGAGAATTGCAGCGAAAACTGTAGTGAAACTCATTACAAGGAACAAATGACGTGCAATTTACTCGATGGGGGTTGCTTGGATGGTTGTAAGGCTGGCTGGACAGGTTACCGCTGTGAAAATGGTATACTTTTAATCACTTCCCTGCTTGTTTTTCGAGCAAGTAATCAAAATTTGAAACCACCGCTAAATTTTGTAGTGTTAACGAAAACAATCATTTCATAAATAGAATATATAAAAAGAAGTAAACGAAACTTAGAAAAATTATGAAAGTATATGAATCGAAATTCTTTAGACTCTTTAGTGAATTAATAGTCAAATATCGATAACAAATAAACTAGCGAAGAAATCACCAACCATACAAGCGAAATTGATTGTACTTATAAACACTCATTCCTACATGTCCTATGATAAGCAAGTTATAACCATTACAAGAATGATCACGTCTTATCTGTAATATGCAGGTTTCGTAACCCCTGATCCCCTTCCAAAATTCCATTATTATATTCTCGTGTAGGACACACGCATGGTTTTACTCGAGAACCACATGCCGCTTTTGATGAAATGGCATTAATGTGTTACATTGAAGGTTCCATGATAACCGCCACACGAACACATCTGTGGATGTTTAAAACTCTTAAACATTTTCACCAGTTCATGTTGAATTCTGTAAATGCAAGGGAGCACGGGCGGTAACTTGCACTTTCCATTACCGTTCATGGACAATGCTCAATCAAACCGAACTTGCCAAATTGTCTCTGTTATTTTCGTTTCGGGCGTACTTTAGGGATTCTGTTTTTCTCAATTTTGCTTATTTGGTTATTATGCGTTACTACTTAATCAAAGAACAGAATTTAAATGACATTATCCAAATTCCATGCTATTCACTTATTGTTCTGTGCCCTGTAGATATTTGTATCTATACAAAATATACAAATGAAAATGTGATAATATCTCAATTGAACAAAAATGTTATTTCTGGTTTGGAAAAAGCGCACGGGTGCGGCATTTCATTTTTGGAAAACAAACATATTGTATTTATCACTGGCTCTAGATTGCATGCGTTCTTTATAACTGTGTTCAAAGGAAACAGAAAAAATAATTTAAAAATAATAAAAAAAACATTATGTATGTTTTTTAAGATTTTTCATTGTTTCTCAGGGGGGTGCTAATGACGAACCTTTATAACCGTTATTTGTCTGCCCTTCATCTATTTCCATAATAATATTGAGTTATGTAACTTAAGCCATATCATAGTCCATTTGTTACAGAATGTGACGATGGTAAATGGGGCACAAACTGTACAAATGATTGTGGAAGCTGTTTGTCCTTACCATGTAACCATGTGAATGGAAGTTGTCAAGGCGGGTGTAGTTCTGGGTACAAGTCGACATTAAAATGTGACATAGGTAATGTTAAGATCTAATTATACGTTATTGCGGTTCTTGGTAATATGTTGTATATTTATATTTGATATAATTCTAATAATCATTTCAGCTACAATTATTCGTTCATTACAAACCTTTTACGTAAAAGATAGATCTTACTAGCAAGATAAAGAAAATTAAGATATGTGTCATCTTTGTATCATTCATGTGAAATTCTCATGCCTCATATTCATGTCTTTTTTATCTCAAATGCCATGAGCGGAGATTTGGTGCTTGGGTGTAAAGGATTTGCAGTGTCTATTTCAATAAACAAAAATTGTCATTACAATGGGGGCTTCTTACTAACCATCCATTTTAAGTTACATTTAAGGATGATGCAGTAGTGATAAGAGCTGTTGAAGGTTTAAGTTGAAAACACCATTAAATTTATATTTTCATTTAATATTTTGTTTCTTTTCAGAGTGTGATCCGGCTTATTATCGGATAAAGATTGCATAGAGCAAAATGTAATCGTACATGTTCTGAGAACTGGGGATGCGTTGTGCAATAGCGTATCGGGCACTCCTGCATCAAACGGCTGTCATAGCCGGGTATTGGAGGCTCTATACATTGTGCCAATTGGGTAATGATTTCTTTGTTTAATCAAATGCATGCTACATATTTTCATTTTTTTCTGAATTTGTCAATTGATTTTGGATTTTGAATCATATTAATCAGGTGTAATAAAGGTAAAGTATTTACATCTAAGACAAACAATTTAAAGCCAAGTAATATTTCTATGCTTTATTTAACAAATTAAAGGGGAGCGGTGGCTGTGGTAAGGTGTCTGCCATCTCAACCCAGGAGATCATCGGGTTCGAGCCTACTCCGGGTCACGACAATACGTTTTCCATATGACACCATAACTGGGTGGTTTCCAGAAGCGGACCTCGAAAGTGATTAATATAAGTTGCAAGAACTTGTTTCGCAATCGAGCTTAAATAAATATGTTTAAACCAACAAATTAAAAAATAATTTCAGACATAAGTTTGTAATTGCTGAATACGGCTAATGAATCGGTCATAATTATATTGTATCAGGGACTAATAAGAGTACTTCCGACGGTGCAGATGGTCTGTATAGTTGTAATTGCTGACATCATTTTTTCTTTTTAAGATGGACCTTAAACTTTGAAATTTGCGCTGAAATCATATAAATGCTGCGTACTTTTAATTACGTGGGCTCTTTATGTCAAAAAGTCGTTAAAGTAACAGTTTGTGTAAGTTTAAACTTGGTGAAAGCCAACAGAGTTCTCAATAATAATCATATTACACTGTGGTTTAACGGCCTCACCATTTTTCAGCAGAAACATCCATTGATGTCGCCCCAGCCGGTGTTATATCCTCATTACTAACTGTGTCATGTACTATAACTATTACATATATAAATTATCCCCACCAGTAAAGCTTGATAGTAGACATAGTAGACTTGTACTTTTTTTGTGACGTAAATCCCATTGTAAACATGTAATTCATGAGACAATAGCTAAATATATATTCAAATACAACGTCCGTTAACAGCTATCAGTTTAAATTCTTGCAACAAGCATATGATGTAATGAATGTCATAACGGTAACATTTAAAGTTTAAGACAGAGCTTTATGCATTACAGACCCGAGTAGTAAAGATGATGAAGCATCAAAACTGAAACTAGTTTTGATATGTCTGGGGAGCTTTTGTTTGATTATTGTTGTATACGCAACAGTAATAACGATATTGTTCAAACGTAGGACGACAAAAAGTGGTATGTTATTACATGTATCATTATTTTAAACATAAAAAGAGCTTTCTTTCATGAAGTTAATCTAAATACTTAGTCAGTAATGAATCCTGTAAACACTGTCCATTTTAATGTTAATCAAATATTAATTGTGATGATAACCTGAAATCTTCACTCGTTATTATAATTTAAGTTGTACAGTACAGTTATTATATCACCGATTTTCAACAACAAAAGAACAACAAAATTTACCAAATGTTTTACTTATCTATAAGAGACACATGTTGACATGTAATATAAGTCATTTGTTAAAATTCAAATAAGTTAATTTTTTAATTATTTTTTTAAGAAAATGACGAAACTGGTGGGGCTTTTAATCGACCTTTAAGGTAAGCACATTATGTCTCTCTGTCTCCTATAAGTTCACTTTTGTATAGTTTTTGTTCTTATCGGTTTTAACTCTAACTAATGGATATACCTTCACCAAACTGGACTTGCTTTATCGTTTTCAAAACTGAAACTACTTAAATGCTGTACAGTCATTTTCGAATTTAAGTTTCCTTGTGACTGATGGGTGCCTTTAAGTGTCGAAGCATCAGAATTGCAGCCACCGTTTATCCCTGCGTGATCGTAAGAGGCGACAAAATTGGTGCAGACCGCTGGAGTATGTGCGCCTCTTACCTCCAGCAGGTGAGGTGGTTTTGACCTCTGATGTTGCTTTAAGTTAGTAACATCCGAAATTAACTAAATCATATTTCCTGTTTCTGCACTATATGGCATAATTTGTGTTGGTGCGGCGTAGTAAAACAAAACAATCAAATTCATGATCGAGTCTTCCATTTTTATCGTTTGTCCCAATCAACTAACTTTATTATTCATTATAATTTTCGGTATTTTTCTGTGGATATATCTTAAATTATACAGAACAGCATTTTATCTGTTATTCAAAGCTTTCTTATTTATTACATAACGATTTTTGTAATTATATATTTTTCAGCATATATGCATGTACAGAGGATACCTTTCAAGCAACAATTGCAGCAACATCTGCAGCAAAAGGAACTGATCCATCTGTATACAATAGAGAATCCAATCTCTACAAAAATATTTTTCCCAAAACAGAAAACGACGAAGAGACATACGACGCTGTCGAACTAGAATGATCAGTTAATGTTAACCTGTAACAAACTGAAAATGAAAGTGATTTGTTATAGCCACCATTTATAGCCATTATTGATTAGACTCTATACTTACGGCTGACTAACTTTGAATCTTCATCTTGATAACCCCAAATCCGTAATGAAAAGTCCGGAACACAGAAGATGTGCTTTTTAGAAAAACATAATCCCTAAAAAAACGCCCAAAACGACAAAATGTAAATGTTGCAGGCTCCGTTTGATTGAGCGTGTTTATGGGCGGTACTGGAAAATGCAAGTTACGGTCACCGCTCACTAGCACCGGCTTAATCAGAATTTAACATTTAAACACGAAATTGGTGTAAATTTGAATTTAGAAACATTCGCATATGTGTTCATACGACGGGAAGCCACTCTTATAAACATTAAATATGGCATGCATCAAAAAAGAATATTTTACAATCAATAACTTGTATTGCATTGTAAAATATACATGTATATCTTTAAGTATCAAGTGGTGGGTTGATAAATTTTCCTTTCAGTACTTTACTATTACCGTATGTGACTGTCTATGCAAGTTATTATTGTAAGTAAATATGTCTTCTTCTCAGCTAATACTGCATTATCTTTTACGTTTCCACAATCCTGTCGGCATCGTTATGTTCATATTGTAAATACACCAGCAGAAAAATTTTATTAACTCATCGAGACCTATCATTGTTAATATCTTATCATGTTTTTGCTACTGAGACCACGAACAATTCTTGCATGGTGAACTATGGACAGGTTTTTAAAGATATTTCGACCATCGTAAAAAAGTTGTCTTTGCATATCCCATAACATGTTTAAATTCTTAAATGGCCTTTTTTATTCTATTCTTCATCAATGTCCATTGCCTGGTAGGACATGTGCGTTATCATCTTGATCTATATTGGTTGAAAAGGCCTATAACTTATGGCATCAGAGGGATAAAAGTTAGGTCAACTGATGACTATCCCATAAGATTGTAAACTTAGTTTTCAGCTCTTTACTTTTTATGCATAAAAATTATTATCATTATTAAATTTTTAATTTTTGTTCAATAATGAATGTATATATGTTTTGATTTTGTCTTTGTTACTTTAACGTTTTAGATAATGCATTCTGATTGTTGCCCTCACGTTACCAGTACATACATGATGAAATCTGTTATGATTTAGTTTAGTCAATGTGAAATATAAGAAGAGCTACTAACTTTAAAGAATATGGTCAGACTGAACTGGTAATAAAGGTTTAAAGTCTAGGTTCCAGCACGTGGAGGATTAAAACGAAGCGAACACTTTATCATTTCAGTTGAAGTCACATTTACCATTATTGCCGCCTCAACAATATTATACTTTATTGACTACAATGCTTGATCTTGTTCTCACAGTGGCGCAATCTTTCATATTTGTCCTGTTAGGCACTGCTTAAGAATTATCAAGTGTATTTGCAAATTTATATTCTTAACATATATAATATATAATTTGTCTTTGAAACCATTATTTGTTTGTTTGAATAATCTCTACATAGATTTACCTTCTAAAACTAACGTGTTCAAGAAAGAAGCTGTATGGAATATAGTTACCATTGTAGATCTGCACTTATTTTTTGGATACAGGCGTAGAAAAAGTCAATAAATGAATGAACACTAGAGTAGATTTATATTTATTTTATTTCATTTAAATAAAAAGTTCAATACGCAAAGAGAAATCGCTTGCTTGTCTTTTTTACCTTAAGCAGGTAAAGCATCGTGCCTCCAGATTCATTATAATTATCGTGATTTTTTTTTGAAATGTATTTAAATATATACTATGCTCTTCCTTGAGTAGAATATTTTAATCACAGAAATTCATTGAAATTTATGTAATTCTTACTGAATATGTCAAATGAGAATAAAAGAACAAATAAACTACGTATGGGAAGCTACGTTACTTGTTACAAGTCAAATAAAGTTGGTCGTTTCTTTTAAAAACAGTTTTTTTAATGACACTTGTCTATATATTTATATTGTGGCAACCTATAGTGTGTAGACTTTAAAACATAACATATCTACTTTGTGTGAAGTCAAAACATGTTTATTTTATAATTGTAGCAATTATCAATATCAAATTTGAGCAGAGTATATCTTTAGAAATAAACTAGTGTCAACAGAAGAAAAAAAGTAATTTGCACATTGGAAACGGCACTTACAATATACAAAAAATAACCTAATGTAGGTCGGAATATCCAAAGATAATTCTTTATGTATCAGTCAAGCAGTAGAAATATTGTGATAAATGTTGCAAAATCAGTCATTGGTTGCATATAACATGTAAATTAAGGTTGAAAATCAATTTTTTGCTGATCGTTCTCAATATTCGCATTTTGATTAAAACCATATCAGCAGCGGTTTGACAAATCAAACATTTATTTGATGAAAGCAAATTTAGTTTCAATGAAATGATTAAATATAATTCCTTGCATTAATGTCAATGAACATTGTTTTTGGATATGCACACAATTATCAATCAATTTAAATTGAAATTCTTTAAACAAATGATGTTTATGTTACAAATAAGAAATTATGTATAGCAACTTATTGGTATTATTAATATAAAGTTATGTAGTAACAAGAAAAATCATTTAACATGCATAGCATATGTATTAATATTAATATGATACTTAATAGGCAATTAAAAAATATAACCATCTATATTACCATTAAATTGTCTTGAAATATTTATTTTAAAAAAAATAAAGTATTAATACACCAATAACAGAAAAGAAAACAAAAAACATAATTCCGTAAATATGTAAAGTTTAAATCGTAAGTTTCTAAATATCCGAACGGAAGAACAAGATAAGAGGTGAATCTCATTTATAAACAGACTAAACAAATGTTTGTGTACATATATTTTTAAGGACATGTTAACAAGAGAGCCATGATGGCCTGGATCGCTTACGTGAGCTATGTTCAATGCTTGAAATAGTCACAATTGTTATTTTTCTATTTTAAAGTCACTTATGAGGTCAGATTAGGTTTGTCATTTTTACCCAAACTACATAATTTTTAACTATCTGTAGATGTCTGCTTTTGGCATTATCATTTCAAACAATAAGACTGTGTATTTACTTTGTAAGTCTATATTAACTATGTGACAACCGGGCCAAAACTAATTTTGACCCCAGGAACTCCTCGTAAACGACCACAAGGTAATATGTGCAAAATATCTAAACTCTGGACATTTTACCTTTTTTTAGAGAAGAAAATTTTCAAGACATTTTGCTATAGACTAAGTGACCTCCATGGCGTTGCAATTTTGACTGTACATGACTTATATATAATTTTGAAGCAATGTACTAGGCAATGCTACATGTCCAATATTTATGCTCTTCGTATTGTAGCTTAATAGTAAATTTTAATGTATTTTCTTAAGCATAAGTCTTTAGAAATTTAAATTACCCCAAATGCAAAAATGTTATCCCCTGGGACATAGCTTTTTAGCTCACGAGAGCCGAAGGCTCAGGGTGAGCTATTAGTATCAAAGGGGATACTCCGGCGTCCGTCATCCGTCGTCATGCGTCAACAATCGCCTTCTTCTCTGAAACTGCTGGGCAAATTTACCTAAAATTTGGTCTGTAGCATCCTTGTGCCAGTCACACTTGAATTTGCTCATGTCATTTCAATTCGCCCCTTTAAGGGGTCAACAGAGCTAAAAATAGAAAAACCTTTAAACATCTTCTACTACAGAACTAAAAAATGGATGATCACCAAACTTTGCCTGTAGCATTCTTGGGTAGTTTTTTATCAAGTTTGCTCATATTAATTTTATTTGCCCCTTTAAGGGGTCTCTAGGACTAAAAATAGAAAAACCTTTAAACATATTCTACAGAACTAATTGATGGATGATCACCAAACTTTGTCTGAAGCAATCTTGGGAAGTCTTTTATCAAATTTGCTCATATTAATTTGATTGGCCCCTTTTAGGGGCCGCTATAGCTAAAAATAGAAATACCTTTAAACGTCTACTTCTACAGAACTAATTGATGGATGATCACCAAACTTTGTCTGTAGCATTCTTAGGTAGTCTTTTATCAAGTTGCTCATATTAATTTCATTGGCCCCTTTTAGGGGTCTCTAGAGCTAAAACTAGAAAAACCTTTAGACATCTTCTTCAACAGAACTAATTGATAGATGATAATCAAACTTTGTCTGTAGCATTCTTGGGTAGTCTTTTATCAAGTTTGCTCATATTAATTTGATTGGCCCCTTGTAGGGGCCGCTAAAGCTAAAAATAGAAATACCTTTAAATGTCTTCTTCTACAGCACTAATTGGTGGATGATCACCAAACTTTGTCTGTAGCATTCTTACGTAGTCTTTTATTAAGTTTGCTCATGTTAATTTGAATGGCCCCTTTTAGGGGCCTCTAAAGCTAAAAAAGAAAATCTTTAAACATCTCCTTCTGCAGAACTAATCGATGGATTATCACCAAACTTTGTCTGTAGCGTTCTTGGGTAGTCTTTTATCAAGTTTGCTCATATGAATTGATTGGCACCTTTTTGGGGCCTCCAAAGCTAAAATTGTAAAAACCGTTAAACATCATTTCCTACTGAAATCACCAAACTTTGTCTGTTGCATTCTTAGGTAGTCTTTTATCAAGTTTGTTCAAATTAATTTGAGTGGCCCCTTTAAGGGGCCCCTAAACCTAAAAATAGAAAAACCTTGAACATAATCTCATACTGAAATATTTGATGGATGATCACCAAACTTTGTCTGTAGCATTCTAGGTAGTCTTTTATCAAGTTTGCTCATATTAATTTGATTGGCCCTGTTTAAGCTTAGAAAGCTTAAATACCCCAGGTCATGGCATTTCTTCAAATTATAGTTTAAAGATATTCTATGCTCAAATTTAATATTAGAAAATATTGACAATGGATGCACAGTCTCTTTATAAATATAAAATAAACGTGTTTTGACTTCACACAAAGTATATATGTTATGTTTTAAACTATTCACACTTTATGTGGTCACAGTATAAATACAGCATAATGATAGTGTCATTAAAAAACTGTTTTTTTTATTTATATAGAAAAGACCAACTTTACTTGACCTATAATAGGATATGCAGCTTCCGATACATAGTTTATTCTTTCTTTTATCCAAATTAGACATTTCCAGTTAGAATTTCACAAATTTCAATAAATTTCTATGATCATAATGAAAGGGAAACAACTCATATTGGAATGTATGTTAAAAGATATCCAATGGCTTGGAGAAAGTCTTAATGCCATGACCTGTTTATGATGTGTAAATATCTTTCAGCTCTAGAATTTCGACATCATATTGTATCATTGTCAGTTGTAGGTCATTAACCAGTAAAAAAATTGGCCTAAAGAAACATTACATTTGTTTAACAAAGATGAGTTTGTATGCTCATTTTTTTTATTGAATGTCGTTAAAAATTGTAATTATTTCATTTTTTGTTGAATTGGATTTAAACTTGGAGAAAGCACATTTCAATAAATTTTGGAACATACTGTTGAAACTGAGTTTCATGTGCATAATTGAATTTTGGCATCACTTGAGCTGTTTTGGATATTTTTGAAACCATTGCACATACTTTCTTGTTTTTGATGTACAAAGAGTCAGAGACTTGTAATTTGAACCAGGAATGTAATTTCTGATGCGAATTGAATTAAGATATCGACTGACTACTTTTGAAATTATCATTTGATATTGTTTGACCTACTTTGTCGTTTTTGATGTACCTGCTGGAATTTGGACAATGGGTTAAAATTCTGATCCTGAATTGAGTTTTGATATGAACTGGCCTACTTTTGATATATTTAATGTCACTTTACCTACTTTTTTGTCTTTTATGTACAGACTTGAAATTTGGACCAGGGGTTTAATTTGTGTAATTTCTGACCTACTTTTGATATTTTTGATATAATTTGACCTTCATTTTTGTGTTTTTTTTACATACATTTTGAAATTTGGATTATGGGTGTGATTTCTGATGCTGAATTGAATTTTAATATCAACTGGCCTACTTTTCATATTTTTTACAATGTTTGACATATTGTCTTTTTTGAGGTACAGTTATGTTACCATACAGAATGTATAAAAAATTTGTTGTCCCAAACTGTAAACTTCAAACATCTACACCTTACATGTTTTGCATGTGACATTTTGTGTTCTCATTTAAAAAAGTGATAAAAAAACATTGTCCAGTCAAAATTAATCCTGCTCTAGTGGTCATTTATTTTGCATTTATTCTACATAGTCTCATAGGAACCCACTTGCAACATACATATTTTTAACAAAGCCTTTCCAAAATATTAGGGCAAAATATTTCAATTTATATACAGTGAATAGTGAATAATGAAACAATGGGTTAGATGAGTGATCTTGGGCCATCTTAGTGGCCCTAGTTTATTATGCAAAAATAAAGCTTAAACATTATCAGTGTTGTGAAAGTATATTACTAGAGGGGCAAGTTAAAGTTGAGCTGAACTTGCTGAAAGAGCTGGACGTCATTGTAACTATATAAGTCTATGTAAATTACGTAAGTGACCCCAAGTCGGGCAATTATTAACCAAAAGTGACATGTCTGATATAACTTTTGTATAGATCCAGTAGGCAATACTTCATGACAATATGAAAATATTGCTGCTCGTATTGGTCGTATTGTAGCTTCGAATAAAAAGTCTTTTCCTATACAGATCTGTAAAAAAATTAGTGACCCTCGGGTAGGGACTACTTTTGACCCAAAGGGCACACATTTTATAATATCTGTAGAGGACTACAAGATGATGCGTCATGTAAAATATCTAAACTCTCAGGATTGGACTTTCAGAGAAGAAGATTTGTACTGTTCGTGTAGTTGTCATAGATTCTTCCATCAATGTTTATTAACGTTTTGTTGATAGAAACATTTCTTTTCTATGTATTGGCATACGTCGCACAATCTTCAATATGACGCTTTACTACTTCATAGCAGAACTTAAACTGATCCTGAAAACCGAAAACAATATGTGTTAAAAGACTATAAGATTATACATAAAAGATGTGATATTTAAACAATAAATCTTAACATGTTTTAGTTATGTAATCAAAATATCTGTATACAAATTTATAAGTGAAAAATGACGTTGCAAACGTTCAATATTATAAAAAAAACTATATACACGTCACGATTATCCAATGAAAAGCGTCGTTACAAACATGCAGTATTATAATTTGATATGTTACATTGTAACAGAAACAAACATAAATTATTTGACATTTAAACTTCTTTCTCAACTTAGAACCACGTCTACTGTTATAGTTTGTTTGTTATTTCTTTGTTTAAATTATACGTTTATGTGAACAAGCATAAACGGCTTTCGTTGCTACAAATATTAAATATCAATAACAATTGTCACCGTAATAGAAGTTTTTCTACGAATTAATTTTATTTCTAAGAAGAACTTAAATGTTACATATGTTGAAATGATTGGATAAAACATACACATCTAGTGCAACTTACAAAATGTTGTACTATGTGACCTTGGAAACTCCTCAGTTGTTGTATCACCTGTGGAATAGACACTTCATTGTCAAATTTGATTCGCTCGAAAATATTCACCAGGACTACTATCAGGCCGCCTCTTTCATTCGCGTCCCTGAAGATGTTTATAAAGTATAAGTGCATACACATTTGTATTAGTATAAGGGTATAAATTGTATTATCTATATTATGAAAAAAAAAGAGAAGAACACTCGAGGGCAATTGCAACACGAAGTGAATGCATCTGCGTCTGAACATCCTAGCAAAATGCAACATGTTATACCGGTTTCTGTTGGCTTAAGCACACGATTTCATTCTTGAAACTAAATAAATATATAGTGAAATACATATATATTTTTGCAAAGGAAGAATCAATTTTTTAAAACATTTCAAAAATTGAGTTATAGTAGATGAAAACATAAATTTTTGCGTGTGAATTTTGAGAAAAGCAGAAAATGACATGGGAAAGCCTCGTACGTTATTTATTTAAACATCATATGGTACAAAGGAAAAAAATAGAAATAACTGTTTTAGTTTTCAATTTATATAAGGACCACTTTCAGGCCACCTCTTTCATTCACGTCCCTGAAGTTGTTTATAAAGTATAAGTGCATACACGTTTGTATTAGTATAAGGGTATGAATTGTATTATATATATATTGAAAAGAAAGAGCAGAATACTCGAGGGCAATTGCAACAGAAGTGAATGCATCTGCGTATGAACATCCTAGCAAAATGCAACATGATATGCCCGTTACTGTCGGCTTAAGCACACGATTTCATTCTTGAAACTACATGTAAAATAAATATATAGTAAAATACATATATATTTTTGCAAAGGAAGAATCAATTTTTAATACATTTCAAAAATTGAGTTATATGTAGATGAAAACATATATTTTTGCGTGTGAATTTTGAGAGAAGCAGAAAATGACATGGGAAAGCTTCGTACGTTATTCACTTTAACATCATATGGTACAAAGGAAAACAATAGAAATAACTGTTTTATTTTTCAATTTATATATTTTAACAGCAACCTGACTACTGCCACATTGTAATAGTTACCCGCTTTACTGATTTTGATTGGTGAGGGAGATGGGATGGAAAGGGCCGCCAATGATGGGATTGGGCACAAAACGTACACGAATACTGTACAAAATTTAAGATACGTTTAAAAGGGAGTCTACTAGTGTCAATAATAAAAATTAAAGATACACTCACAAGCTTTGTATCAGTGTTCGCTTTGTTTTATCTTCATCTCTAATGATGTTGATTGCCTGTATAAATCGGAGCATATCAAGTGGATCACTCGGATATGCAGAGCTATTATATTCAAGCTGTTTTATGACACGTTCCTTAAATATAGAAACAACAATTATACTATTTCTATCAATTAATATAAAATACATTGTATAAACTATCTAAAATAATATATTACCGTTTAACAAAGAGAAAAAATACCGATATTTGTTATAATCATATATTTGCTTGACGAACCGAGAAAGCGGTCTCTTTAGAATATATTCAACAGTCTTATTCTCTGTTATTTTATACATGTATTTTAATTAGTTATCCTGTCTTTGACTTCATTTGTAAGCGGCCAAAGGCACTTTGAAATCTGCATTGTAAATGAAATGTGTTTTTAATAATTATAAATTATGCGAATCATAACATATCCCTTTATACTAAAGAGCAGTTTTGAGCCAGTTAAATCGTTTGAATTTGAAAGAATATAAAAACAGTTAATTGTTTAACATTTGTTACCATTGTAACGCTATTAAAACTGTTTGATCGCTTGTGTGAGTTTAAAAAGTGTGTTGATGATCGCAAAGCTTGTACGTTTTCTAAATATTAATTCAATACCTGAGAGTTGACCTTAAAAGAGTACCATCTTTCTGTGTAAATACTATCGTATTTTGTCGATATCACCGATATCGTATAAGGACCTATGTTTCGGGGATCCTTGGCAGGTGATAATATCTTACTCTGTAAGTATAATTGAGATGAACTACTAATAAACATATAAATCTTTTATTTTTTAAGTACAAAATATTAAGAATATGAATTATATAAATGGCACAAAAGGACTACTACATATTTGATAAGGATTTGAAGCGTACCTTACAGAAGATTTCTAAACAAAAAATAATTATGATACTTTCACTCAGATTTCACTAAGACCGAAGTAACATAATCATTAATGTCACGAAAATTCATAATCTTATTTAAGTTGTATTTGCTTTTCAAGTACCTCAGATCATGAAAATGTCAACTCACTGCATTACTTATCATTAAAATCTTCACTGACAAAAGCAATTATCCCCTAAATGACATATGATCAAAGTATATATACAATGTCAGTCATGATTAGGCATCAGAATGTACAATGGTATACCTCCCCCTTCATGCCTTTGGATAAAGCAACTATTAGATTAACCTCCTGTTTGTCTACTAACTGCAAGTATTGGACCGAATTGCTGTCAAATGGCAAGAAGATAAAGCTGTTATCTGTCGTGTAACTCTGTTTAATAACAATAATATTTTCAACTTACTTCAAATGCAGATTTATACAAGTATACAACAAAATAATTGTGATGATATTATACATCAATTTAGATTCTAATCAGATGTTCTAACAAACTACTTTTTCACCGTAAAACTTTGGCAAATGTCTCATTTCCTTAATATTTTTCAGTATATGAGTACATGTATATAAACTGTAGGCGATTTTCTGCCCAAATGTCATTGCTGCTCCCATAAAAGATGATAACAAAAAAAAGCTGTAAATTATGCCGCATTTTCATGACTGAATGAATGCATACATTTGGCGACGCGTTCTATTATACTATAATTTTTAAATTTAATATGCGAATTTTAGTATCGACCTTAAGGGGGGGGGGCAAATTTAATATAACGCAGTGTCAGGGAGTATCTAGCCACACAAAGCTTCTAAAGAGGCATTCCATTAGGCATCCTTCAGAAAAGGGGAAATTTACGGGATAAAAAAGAGTGCAAACGAATGACAGATATCCAAATTTTATATGTTAAGAAAATGTATTATTCTTTTACCGGCAAATATAATACTTTGATATCAGAAGGCCTTCCATCTTCATCATCAATTTCTTCATATACTGAAATTTATTGACAAACCATTTTCAGTAGGACAAAACAATATTCTTAACTAAGGATGTTTATAATGTGATGCTGTCATGATAATGCAAAAGAAAAACTTATTTGTAAATTACCTGATCATCAGGTTGGACAAAATTTATTTTTAATCTACTTTTAATTTACTTTTATCCAGAACAATAACTGCGTTTTTATATTGATTGTTGACCGCCAATGATACAAATAAAATATGTATAAAAATGGACAAAATTAAAAAGGAGCAAAGTCATGACAAACAGGGCACAGACACATATATAATACAATTTTATCAAAATATTAGAAAAAGGTAATGTTACCTTCTACTGACTGACTTTCTATTAATGTGTAATCTTTTAAAGCCTATTTAAAATGAAAAAAGAAAGCAATATGACTGTTCATAAGCAAATTCTAACAAAATGATCTTCCTGCATACATAAACATATATGAAACTATGCATGCTTTATAATATAAATAACAATTTGTATCAGAACTAAAAATGAGAAAATAACATAGGACTTCAATGATAATGCATGTTTCATATTTTTACATGTACATTTATATTACTTTTATTACATATCTTTGTTTTTCTCGAAAAAAAATTGTGTCTACGCTTGATTTTTTCCTAAAAACCTACAAACATTTAACCATTTAGGCCAGAAATTCGGTAGGTGGGTCAGTTAACCAAAACACCGCCTTACGTCTATAACATGACAAAAATATTTTTTAACATTTACTTATAGATAAGAAAGGTAGCAAACCTCAAATTGCAACAACAGTTTTGTTTTGTGCGTCACGTCATCTTCTTTAGTAAGCTCAGCATACGCATCAATAAACTCTTCACATTTTACGGGAGGTGACCACAATACCAAAATCTCTAACATGATTTTGTGTAAAAACATGTACTGATTCTAACAAAATGAAACATTTAATACTAGAAAATCAAATGTTACTGCAAATTCCGATTAAAGTTTTTTTAAAAACGCATTTTAAATAGCAGCTAAACTGTCTTTGTAGAGTAAAACATTTATCTTTGTGCTGATCAAAAAAAGTCTTAACCGTTGTATAAGTAAATTTATTAGATATTAATTAAAAATTTGAGGAATAAGAAATGAACACAAAACATTTGGGAAAAAAATGTTCAGAAATTTTCATAACTCAACTGAACAGAATAAAATAAAGTGCTCTTGAAAAGACAGGCGTATTGAGAAACTGAGAAATATGTAAACCTTTGTCTGGACCATATTAACTCTTTGCTCTCTTAAATCTTTCACACATTGAAATATGTCTATAAACCCTTGATCGATGGCCTGATCATATAGCTTGTCTATTGCAATAAATGTCCCAGTACGTCCGACTCCAGCACTGAAATAAAATTATTATATCTTTGTTCTGACTTTTTTTCTTTTATTTAAAGTTGAACGTTGAATATTGCTAAGTCGGTGACAGTGAATCTTTAAATTGTCTCTCTGTTCACTTTCTCTATTGAACTGTCTCAATCAATCAAGCACCCACCGAGTTAGTCTGCAGTTATTAATTTTTGAATGTGTTTCATCTGCTCCTAACAGATCATCTCTTTTATAACGTTCAGGTATGTTAACCTTTACACCTATTTATATTGTATTGATTCAAATTGACTGGATTATGAAGATGTAAATAATGATTTTCCGGTGAAATATTCAGATAGTATTGCTTATTACTAAATTAAATATGTTTTCAGGCAACCAACCTGCAATGAACTAGCCATGGGTGTGATTTTGTTGCGTCATTTTGTCTAACTCTGTGCCAGAACTCCAGCAAGCTTGTCGTTGTTCTTGGTACGTTTTTGTCTGGCCATGCCGTATAGTGGTGTTGAGTGATAACCCTTTCTTTGCCAGGATTATTCTGAAGATATTAAACAGTGCAGTTTGGTAGGTATACATTAATTGTTGCAAGGTGGATAAAGTAATTCAATATCTACATGTATCTCTGTTTGTTTTGAATTTTTAATAAGGAATTTCAAAACGTTGCTTTTGAAAACGCTTGTTTACTGAACAAGGATTTATCTTATTCGGCGTTTTTATACAGTATTAGTCATAGAATATGTTTATATTACAGAAAACATTGTGTAGATTTTATAATATTTCTAACGTAAGAAGACTCTATTATGCTTATTTTTATCCCATAACAACAATGATTTTAAGGACTTTTCGATCGTACACATATTTACCACTAATCTGGTGAATTAAAAAGTTATTGATTTGCTCTGCCTTCTTTATTTAATACCCAGATAAGAACATTAAGGTAGATCTACATCAAGGTAAAACATTGAGCTACTAAGAGTATAGAGTGTGTTTCGAGTGCACGGTATCAAATGATTATCATTTTCGGTCCCAGCAAGTTATGGAAGAATGGCTCCAGAATAATGCTAATTTTCGTAAAAAATTTGAAACTGTATTAAAAAGTAAAATATTTTCAAGTGAACAAAGAAAGTAATTTACACCCAATTACTAGCGGCACTTCAAATCCACCTTTACCAAAGCAATGTCCAAAAATGCAAACAAATGCCCTAACTGCGTTAATCACGCAGTAGAAATATGGCAATAATACTTAAAATCAAGTAAATAACTATTTGAATTATAAACATTCTTACGTATCTTAAAATCTTAGTTAATTTTTTTGAAGGTTAATTTTCTTGAAGGGGTTTGTTCATCTGGAAGCATACAGCTTTAAACGATAAGAATGTTCAATATTAAGTACGTTACCACATTTGAAATTCTCAGACGTCTAACAGTAAAGGTAGAAAAAACATTTTCTGCTTCTGTGTAAATGATGATGTCTCCTATTTGAGAACTGGTGCCCTCTTTTGTCCAATATTGGATGCATTTTATCTGGTCAATGAAGACAGATATATAGATACAACATAATAATTTGTTAGACCCTAACAAACATATTGTTTTGTAAACAAGATGTCCAATATTTTTTTCAAAATAATTGTCACGTATCATTTGCTAATTTCTAAGCTGATAAAATGTCCTTTTAAGTTTTATTAACATTTAAATCTGAAAGACATGAATCTTTAAAAAAATGTTTTATTCCTGCAACTTACTGTCCTTCCCTCCACTAACTTAGTCAGCATAACAATTGTAGAAACATTCTTTTCCCAGATCATTCTCCAAAAATCTTCCAAGGTTTTATCAATTGGGCCTGAAAATCATATTAATGAAAAACATACAATAATACATCATTATCAGAACGTCCGTGCAAACAAAGGATGCTGGTGGTAGCGAACGATTTTATAAAACATTTATTTACAAGAGAGAGAAAAGATACCAATCAAATCATAGGTATCAGTGACCGTCATTCTCATTTATTCATGAATTATTTTATGTAATACGTCAATTCATATTGACTTACCATGTGATGCAATGTAGGCATTGTCTGTTAAATATCCCTGAAAATAATTCCAATATAATGATAAAAATATAGCATAAGAATTTAAACGTTTAAAGATTGAATATTGACATAAAGATATTCCAAAATGATAAATGCATAAAGTTGTTTTTTTTAGAAATATAAAATCTGTATAATGATGCTGCTCAAATAAAAGACATTTTAAAATTGCTTTGATTTACATTTTAACAAGAATGCATGATTTGTTTTTGTCTTACAAGCAAACGTAAATATCAATATCATAACTAACATTTGCGCCATCAATCATATAATAATACCTGTATAAAACTAGCATTTATGTAATCAGAATCTTGTTCATGCGACAAAGTGTCCAATACTACACGAGAATGGTCATCTTAAAATAAAGATATATATAAGATGCATGTATATTATAATATCTTGCATAATACCGCAGTTGAATTGAAACTTCAGAATATGTTACATCTCAAAAAATTATTCAGGTTCAGCAATGATAAAATTGTTTAGATATGTGAAATTACAAACATTTGTATTCCATTTGCAAATATATTCAATTAAATACATATTGAAAAAAATTACATTTCTTATACACACTTTATTACAGAAAAAATGACATTTTTAAACTTAATAAGATCAGCCTCAATTATTTTATTTTGATAATAATTGATATCATAATTTGTTTTATTAAATGTTTGTAACTGACAATACTTACAAGCGTACATTGCTTTGTATCTATTTTTACTCATGTTCCCTCTCTTTTTGGCAACCGTTGTTGAGTACTGAAGTCCACGTGGAATTTTCTAAATTTAACACCAAGAAAGGTTAGTAAGTGGTATTACAACTAGATTACTTTATTTCACAACTCACTTTTCTTTCATTATATCTCTTTCAAATCAGTCGTTGTCAATATGTAATATATATTATGCATACAAAAATGTATATTGATACCAAAATCTTATATATAAAAAAACAAAAAGGAATTTATCACGTTATAAAGTCATAACATTCGTGTTTATATAAAGGTACGATGGCCGTTTAGCTCAGGTGTCTGCCATTCAACCTAGTGATCGTGGGTTCGAGATTTCTACCCGGTATTGGCAATGTTTCTTCATTTGTCAACGGTATCGATTTTTTTTCTGGAGTGGACTCAAAAGTGATAAGTAAATATTATACCCTTCATGTACATTTCTTTAAGTATCGTCATGCCTTTAAACGATGACTCAACTGTCCGGCTGACAAGTATTATGACTGCTTGTGAGGGCGCTATAAATCTTTTCTACGGACCGACAATATTAAGTTGTGTATATACAAAAAGAAGGTTTTACATCAACATTGTATCTTCTTTCTTGTACAGTTTTCAGTACATTTTCCTAAAAATGTTTGATTATATATTACATTTGAACTAAATGAGATATGATTATTTTGTTCTAGCAATATTTGGAGAGAGCATACGCTAAACTGTCTGGTGAAGAACTCATCGTCTGCTAAACAAGAAGTCACGTATTCTTTTAACTGTGATAGGAACACGCTATTTTCTGTTGTCCTCATTTGGGCGACTTTGCCAATATTATAGTATCCCTCAACATCATCTGTTTTAATTGTATTTGTTTTTCTTAGAGATTCATCTGAAATATTACAGATACTTGTATGACCTTATTTCTACAAGGGAAACCATCTTGTCGCTTGTTGGTGATTCTAATACCCCAACTTTCTACCCATAACTTAATCAAAATACATAGAAAATTCTAAGGACTGTTTCGAAAATAAAACTATCAGTCTAAGTTATTTAAACTTACCCGAAATATATATTTGTATTAAACATGTTTTGCACACTAAAAAGTGCATAATGATTTATATAGAAACATCAAAATAACATACCATGTAACGATGATCTCTTGCCTGAGTTATTTTTCCCGCATCTTTCCTCTGTATTTGAGTCTTCTTGTTCAGTATTTAAGTGTTGTTCTTTCAATGGTTGACTTAGAAAACAAGAAAGAACAAATATAATACTCATAAGCATGTTTTAAATGAATAAAAATTATAGCAACACTAGCATCATTTATAAAAGCATACAATCCCGTGAATATTATGATAAACAATATAAAACTTTACATCAAATTACGAGGCAATGATGATATTAATTACTGTATGTAATATTATATTTCATATTGTTTAATTAATATTTTTTCAATCCAGCATGCATAAGTAAGAAACCAACTCCATAAAGTGTAAATAAACTGTAACTGGCAAATACAAACGCAGTCGGTAGAACAGTGTGCTCAATTATCGTCAATGCTTGACAGTTAAACAAGAGCCTGGATAATGTAGAAATTTCCATGTTCAAAAAGGGCCACGATTCTGTGAAAATCTATATTAAAGATAGGCCTTGGACGGTAACCTTCTATCATTCTCTTTTATAAGTTTGTGAAGTTTCAAATCTATTACTTTCAGTCGTGTTGGAGATACAAAAGCTTAACCAATGTGTGAGGCTGACGCCGGTGCCTGGGTGAGTACAATAGGTCTCGATAACGTTTGAATAGTGTAGCTAAAAAGACTTTTAAAACACTGTATAATCTTATTTTTTACACACCTTCTTTTATCGTATTCGTAACACATCTTTTATGGATTTAATATGGTAAAATGAATAGACGTTTCGGAACAATATATTTAGTTGTTATATTTAGTAGGAAATGTTCAGGTGTAAATGCATTCGCAACACATTTAATCTTACAAACACCTTATGGTACTTCGGAAAAAAATATAATAATGTAGACAAAGAAATATTCTTATAATGACATACATGTTTATCCAATATAACTTTATACCCTTTCAAAGATTTTTTTTACAGAATGCAACATTGATATTTAAGAAACGATGAATCCAGAAGATTTGTGAGCAAAATCAAAAATGCGCAATGACGCAGATACTGAAGTGTTAAATATAAATAGACATGGTTGACAGTACAATATCCTTGTAAATCTTGACACCACTGCGATATTATGACGAATTAGAAAATTAAATTGTTTCTATACTGTACAAAAACATTTTTAACTGCATAAAATTCTAGAAAAAAAATGGTGATCCCTCGGAAGCATTAAAACAACAGAATTTTACAGACTCGGTTTGTATAAGTTAGTCACAATATCAAGAAATAAAGTACATACTTGGCTGATTGTGTAACATGCACTCTCCGTTTATTAAGTATGACAGCGACGACTAGGATAGCGATTACTACCAATGTAGCGAAAATCCCCCCGACCACAGCGCCAATATAATTCGGATGTTTGGCTGTTTGTTAAATGAAGTAGACAAAAAACTTTATTGAACTTGGATACACGACTATTTATTTAATAGAGTTTAAAATATTATCTTCTTTTAAGATACCGTGACACAAACACGACTTGAAATTGATGAGGATTTCGTTCAATTGATCAGTTATTGATGTGAATTATTGCTATTAACATCGATGGAGAGTTATTTGTACGACATGTCGTATTTCTTGATCCTCGGGACGCTAGTCGAAAACACGAAAAATACAACAAAGTGACAGCTTTGTCGTATTATTATGTATCCGTTTTGGGCCCGCAGAGCAAAAATACGACAAAATGTTGTCTTTTTCGTATTTTCGTCTGAAACCTAGCACAAATCAGCAAACATAGACTTAAAATATGCAACAGAAACACTTCATTTTTTTATATATCTTTGCATATTTACGTAATGCTATGTATCTGTATATAAGAATTTTAGTTATTTCTATCTATATTTGTTTCATAAATTTATTTCTCTGTTCGGAAGTAGGAAGTATCAAATACACTTGCCTTTCATGCACATTGGTCCGCTCCATCCAGGCTTGCAGGAGAAACAAGTCCCGTTTACTTTTTCACAATCTTCTAGGCAATTATCGCTACATTGATCCAAACAATTCTTACCGTATTTACCGTTCCCACATTCTTGTTATGAAATTATGCATATTCTGATAACATTGACGTAATGAAAACAAATATCTAAAAACTATTACAGATTAGTTAGATACAGTCATTTCATGAATGTAAGAATAAAACTTTGTTAGTATCTTAAAATACTTAATATTTTCCCAGTTGAAATGAAATTTCTACAGCGTGTGTCTTTAAAAATATATCATTAATTGCTCCAAACAATCACATTTATTTTTGAAATATTTTATACCCGACCAGTCCGTTTTAAAAGTTTTTTAGTGAGACTTAATATCAATATGATTTTTTTTACTGTTCAAAAACTTGCCGTTCATGCATATTGGTCCGCTCCATCCAGGTTTGCAGGACAAACACGTCCCGTTTACTTTGTCACAATCTTGCAGGCAATTATTGCTACATTGATTCGAACAATTTTTACCGTATTTACCGTTCCCACATTCTTGTTATGAAATTATAGATATTCTGATAAGTAATAACAACAAATATTAAAAAGCTGTTACAGATCTGTTAAATACAGTCTTTTCATGAATGAAAAAAATCTTTGCTAGTATCTTAAAATACTAATTATTTCCCCCGTTTAGATGAAATTCCTAAGGCGTGTGTCTATAAAAAACTTATCATTAATTGCTCCAAATTATAACATTCATTTTTGAGAAACATAATACATGACCAGTCCGTTTTAAAAGTTTTTAGTGAGACTATAATCAATAAGTATTTTTTACTGTTCAAAAACTTGCCTTTCATGCACATTGGTCCGCTCCATCCAGGCTTGCAGGACAAACAAGTCCCGTTTACTTTGTCACAATCTTCCAGGCAATTATCGCTACATTGATCCGAACAATTCTTACCGTATTTACCGTTCCCACATTCTAAGTATGGAATAATACATATTCTGATAAAATGGAAGTAATGAACACAAACATTTAAAAACTATAACTCTGGAGAAAGTGTGATTCTTCGGAAGCATTAATCACAACAAAATTGCACGAAAATTGCAGACTCAGGGGTAATAAAAAATTTGAACATTCCTAACGTCCCCTTAGCACCGGCTTGAGCGGTACTCAATTTTCAACACTTTAAAGTCCAAGACTCAACGATTCCGAAGGACAAGTAAAATGTATTTACACTGACGTGAAATATGGGACGACTAAATACAGTCTATAGATACAGTCATTTCGTGAATGTAAAACGCTTTAATACGAGTATGTTCCAAGCTTAAATGAAATTCCTTGGGCATGTGTCTATCTATTAAATTTATCATTAATTGTTCCAAATTGTCATATTCATTTTGTGTTCAATAATATATGACAAGTGCGGTTTTTAAGTTTTAAAGTGAGGCTTTAAATCAATTAGTATTTTTACTGTTCAAGAACTTACCTTTCATGCACATTGGTCCGCTCCATCCAGGCTTACAGGAGGAACACGTCCCATATTCTTTGTCACAATCTTCCAGGCAATTATTGCTACATTGATTCGAACAATTCTCACCGTATTTACCGTTCCCACATTCTTATTATGAAATTATACATATTCTGATAAAGTGGAAGTAATAAAAACAAATATTACAAAACTATTACAGATTCGTTAGATACTGTCATTTCATGAATGTGAGAAACAACTTTGTTAGTATCTTAAAATACTTAATATTTTCCCAGATTAAATGAAATTGCTATGGCCTGGTCTATGAAATTTACCATTAATTGTGTCAAATTATCATATTCATTATAAGATCATTAATATATTACTAGTTCGCATTTAAAGTTTTAAAGTGAGCCTATACATCAATCGATATTTTTTACTGTTCAAGAACTTGCCTTTCATGCACATTGGTCCGCTCCATCCAGGCTTGCAGGATAAACAAGTCCCGTTTACTTTGTCACAATCTTCTAGGCAATTATTGCTACATTGATTCGAACAATTCTTACCGTATTTACCGTTCCCACATTCTAATTATGAAATTATACATATTCTGATAAAATGGAAGTAATAAAAAACAAATATTAAAAAACTATTACAGATTTGTTAAAAACAGTCATTTCATGAATGTAAAAACACTTTATTAGTCTCTTAAAATATTTAATATTTTCCCATTTCAAATGAAATTTCTAGTGCATGTGTCTAGAAAATCTATCTTTAATTGTTTCAAATTATCATATTTATTTATGAGATCATTAATACCCGACCAGTCCGTTTTAAAGTTTAAAAGAATTACTTATTGTTAATATTTCAAGAAAATTTTACAACAATTTTGCTCATTGACAGAACCGAAATATTTGCATATTTGTCATTGAATGTTACCTGCATATATTCTGACATCACATAGGACAAGATGTGAATACTTCTGCAACAATGTCATTCTGACCTGGTTACCTGCTGTTGAAGTATTACATTCAACATTCATCTTTATTGACTCTTGCTTTGAAACATTCTGTTTATAACAAGTAAGTGGCTCTGGCGGGTAGTAGGCCTTGTTATTATTCATCTCTTTTGGTACGTACTCGATTGATACTTCAAATCCGTTAAAATATTCTGCAAAAGATAATATAATTCATATAACAATATTTTTTCATCTCTTCTATTTGCATACGAAACTTATTTTGCAACATATTTTGTAAAGATGCAATCTTACAAGAATAACATGGAAATTATGTACAAATATATAATGCGATACTTCTTCAACTGCACATTCGATCATATATTAACGAAATTGGCTAGCAAGCAGGGCACTCGTTTTTTAGATGGCGCACGTGAGTCAAAGGCGGCTAAATTTTGACTAAATTAATGAATATGATACAGGTATTTTAAACAATCCTTTTTTATTATAATATATCTGTGTGTATTTCTTACAAATAAATACAATAACGATACATAGTATTTAAAAGTATTTATTATTTTCATTTATTTCCGATTTCGTGTAGGAAATGCGAGCATGTACTCAGTACAAGATAATATTTTACAATTGATTTATATTTCTATTTTTTGTACATAATTAATTTCATTGTTTAAATTCAGACGAAGACGTGTGCTAATCAATACTATGAATTACTTATTTCAATCCCAATATAAGTCCGTCGAGCGCAGAGAAAAATCACAAATCACGAAAAAGAACATAGATAGGCCAACTCCCGGACCTTTTTGTGGAGAGTGGAAATAGCAGGAATATATACATTAAAACATTTAAAAAGGGCCACATATACTGTCAAAATCTTTATATCTAATACCTGCAGGTACTTTAATAATGTCTCTAGAAATAACAAGTTCTCAAGTCATGATATATTTGATGATAGCAATTACTTACTTTTATAACTTTCCTTAGTAAGAAAAGTCATTTTCCACACATTAAAGCTGTAGGGAAACCAGATCTTCCACCAGGTGTTCTCCTTATTATTTGCTGTGACACTACATGATAGAATGTTGCCATCTATCGCCAAAGGTGCATATTGTGCCTTTACTTTGTTGCTCGAATGCTTCACATTCTGGTTTATGGCAAAGTTTCCTTTAACAGTTCGATACAAATATTTGTACATTGTTAAGTAATCGAAAATCACATACAATTAAATGATATCAACAAATGATAGCAACAACAAATGTTATTTTGCTTCATAAATCAGACAAAAGTTATATTATTCAAGCTTAGATGATAGATTCAGCAGTTTGGTCCTTTCCTACATGTAGTAGTATAATGGACTTTAAAAATCTAGTAACTTGAAAACTATGATAACGTATCAACATAGATATCTTGCTGTTAAGTAGCAGCTGCGGTTAAGAGGAACTCTACAGTGCCTTGTTACCCTGCTTGTTTCGACAGCTGGGGAAGAAGATTGGATTTCACAGTCTCTTGCTGTTGTACAGCTGCAAATTTAGTTTAAATTATTACTGCATAATCTCATGTCTATGAAAAAAATTATTGTAAATAAATTCTTAGTTATGCATAAAATTTATTAATTTACTATACTGGCACGATGATCCTAACCAATAAAAATCACACTCAGAGCATGCCCCGGTATCAACATCACATGGGTCGTTATTCAAGCAATGACACGTGAGGTCACATTCCGATCCATATCTATATGAACCATTTACATCTTTGGTACATTGACTATCTAAATACAAGAAATGTACTGTCTCAATAGTATGCCTGAGTGATTATACTTATACAAAGTGATGTGGAACAAATGCGTGTTAAGTCGTCATTAAACTATGGACCTTGTGTCTTCTGGTTGTTGTATTTCATAATTATGATTTAATTATTGTTGTTGTTGTTGTTGTTGTTGTTGCTGCTGTTGCTGCTGCTGCTGCTGCTGTTGTTGTTGTTATTGTTGTTGTTGTTGTTGTTGTTGTTGTTGTTGTTGGTGTTGAAAGGAAACAGTTTAGTTGACATCATTTGTATTGCAATAAAATTGCTGTCAATCTATCGTACTTCTTGTGTACACTCAATTATTTAAACATTTATATGATTCAAATTAGTTTGGCTTTTTATAGTCTTTTCAAATATTCAAAGAGCAATATTCGTAGCAAATAGCTTATTGTCACAAACACATAGTTACATTTTGCAGAAATGTTTTATTTTGAGATATTTTATGATAAAAACTTCAAAGTAATGTATTAAATTGACAGAAGAAATATACTCTATTATTTAATTTTACCCATGAAATATGGTACTATATCAATCAAATATATTTCATATTTTTTGGAAATGAATGTCGGCGGAGTAAAAATCTAATTAATAAAAAACAACTTTTGTTGAATTTTGTTGACTGATAGAAAATGGTCTTACTAAGAAAATAAATCCGAACTCCAATATCTTTAATTCATTCATTACCGCTGTACACACGTTTAAAGAGTTAATTACGTGACGTCACAATGTAGAGCCATAAGAAGAAGAAGAAGAAGAAGAAGAAGAAGCTTTATTCTTTCATAAATCTCACAATACACAATTGACAAAGCCATTATAGCTCATAGTCACATTTTGGTATATACACTTTTGAATTGATATTGGCATTAGTCAACAATAAATCTGTCAGTAAAGTAAACAAGATATATGTGAAAATAGTAAGATGCAAGAAACAGGATACATTACTCTTACAAGATTTAAATGCTTTTGATTTGTAATTACTTCCCTTACATTTCAAAATATCTAATACAAAGAATGTGTCAGACTTTTTCTTAAAAAGTGACTATTTTAAATATTTGTTTTTGTTCATAATTGAATCTTAAATGTTCATCAAGATTGATATAAAATATAAACTAAGTATGAAACATTATTTTGCATCTTCTTATTTTTGGTATTATTTGTATAAACTATTTTCTAACATGTCAGTACGTACTTACGTACGCACGTGCGTGCGTACATACGTACGTATATACATACAATAAATACATTTGTGTACTCACACATGATATTTTTACTTCTAATACATTATTACTATTACTTATTACTATTTTCTATTTACAAATACATGGCGGTGCTGTGTACTTTTTCATTTAACTTTTAAGATAAATATTTAAACGCCGTTTGAGCATATATACAATTTAATTAAAGCCATGATAAAAAATCAACAAATAAATGTTATACTATTCATGAAATTTAACACATACTTGTTAGCTATCTTTCTCTCAGCATGTTGGATTGAAAATATGAATATATATATATATATATATATATATATATATATATATATATATATATATATATATATATATATATATATATATATATATATATATATATATATATATATATATATATATATATATATATATATATATATATATTTCCTATGTATATGCCGCAGTACAACCATGTGCAATCAATAAAATTATTAAAGAATGTAACACTATACTATCTAAATATTATATCTACATCTTCTTATTTCAAATGCTTTGTATACATATACAGATAAATTTCTTATTACTTTAACATTTTCTGATGACAACAATTCTATGGTTTTAAACATGCTTGGTCGAACTCTGTAGTATCTATTTATATATTTATCTCTAATTTTGTCATACATGTTACACTCAAAAAGGAAATGAAATTCGTCTTCTAATTTATTACACGATATGCAAAGTCTATTTTCTCTTACAGTTCTATTCCATCGGCCACATTCTATATTTAATCGATGTGAGGATACTCTCAATCTACATAATGCATTTCTATATTTTTTAACATTAAGTATTTTAAGGTATGGTTGAAAACCAAAACTACATATAGATTTATAAAAAGTAGCTCTTGTTGAGATATCAATCCTACTTTGCCATCCTTGTACAAAAACATCCTTTATTTTTAGCTTAATAATTTGTACAAATATGTTTAAATCTCCTACTCCCTGCGCTAGCCAAACATGATAAAAACCTAGTCTGGATAAAATATTCTTAACACATGAAGCCCAATTTGATTTTTGAGGTTGATTTTCAATGTCATTTAACATCATTTTATATATATAATTTATATATTTATTTTCAGGGCTACTTGTTACTTTCAACCAATATTTTATCATGTACACAATTCTAAGACTATATAGATCAGTTCTTCCAAGATCGCCGTATATAAAATCGTTTTTTTTTTATAAAATATACCGGAAATAATTCCTAATTGACCTGTTTATTGCATAGTACAAGTAGTATTAGTACAGTATGCCAACTAATCTAAAGTTAATGCAATATGTGTACATACATGTATATGCATTTCATTTTTTAATATGTGGTCACACATGAAAGATATTAAAGAAAATCAATAAAATTAATCGTTTTTACCAAGATGACGTTAATTCTTCAACGGGAAATACGTACAGGCAAGTAATCAAATGTAATGCAAAACAATTTCAAGAAGATTTCGTTTTTCCGAATGATGTACAGCCCGGAACGTTGTATCTTACGCCGACAGTTAGAATACAATTTAAGTGCATTCATAATATCAATAGATTTTTTTTGGTGCAATTCTAAAGTCAAACAGCAATAAAAAAATAAAACTTTTTATATCCCGAAATTTGTAAACAATATATCCAAGAAATTTTTAGATACATTAAAATAAATTTGCTTTGATAAGGCAAAACTATTTCCATTATTTTAAATTAAGTGAAGAAGGAAGATATTGCTTCAAACACACTTGTTTGCTACATCACTTATTTAGTATTTTTAAAGGTATTTGTGTAAATAATAAAACATCCTTTAACAATAGTATCATTTTACAAAGAGTTACACATTGAACCGACTTAAAAGATGGGAAAAAGGTTAACCATTTAGATTTATTACAAAGCATACGAATAGTAAATTAAATTCCTCATCATATTTGTGTATTATATTTATTTTGTTAGCGTGGTATACGTTCCACATTTGATATAAAAAAATCTTTAATTTTACCAATGTCATAACATCCTGATGTCCGAATGATATGCAAATATAAATGATGTACACAGTCGAAAAATCTTACCAATACTATCATCATCATCATCATCATCATCATCATCATCATCATCATCATAATCATCATCATCATAATTATTATTATTATAATTATTGTTATTATTATCATTATTATTATTATTATTCACTTCCTGATATCTTGCCATGTTTCTTTCTTCTGACATAATTATGTTAACTGACTTCGTGGAAAACATCACGAACTATTTTTCGGTCGTATTGTTTGAGAAAGGTAATATTTCAAAAGTGTAGTACATTAAAAGTATTGCATTTTAGTAGAAAAGGTTTTGTTACTATTTGATAAAAAATGTAATGGTTCCAAAGTGGAATAGTCTTTAAGCAATTATTTATTAGAGAGAAGTGTGCATGCATGTATAGATCTCTACAAAATAGTAATACTATCATTTTCAATAAGAGTTTACATTTTTTTATATAGTAAAATCGCTATTTATGAAACTATGCTTTTTTAACTTTTTGAGTCACAATCGGTATTTTGTCATCATTCTAGTTATTTAAATGTTATTTCATACAATTAAGTAAAAATACCGGTTGATATAATTTGTTATTTACTTGTTTTCGGGCAAATTTCTGATTTCGTTTGACATTTCTAGTGTTGTATTCTAATTGTAAGTTAAACATGTTTTATCAGTATCAATTTAGCAGTTCAAGCATAAAGATAGAACAGCAGATAGCCCGGAGCCATTCATAAATATATTTAAATAAAAGTTCATTCAAACTATTTTGTCCCTAATATAGTCCAGATAACTTTCAAATTCATATTTGTACTTTATAGAACTGTATGTATCTAGACGCTTTAAATTATTGATTAAACGTAAACAACTTTGATAATAAATATATAAAATTCGTCGTTTTACAATATTTGTAGTCAATCCAAATGTTAAGTTGGTTTTGCCAGTCCGCATTTATCAAGTATAATTTTAATTTGATAGCCCAAATTACATTTATTGTAGAGTTGTTTCGTTCCACATCAACTTGAAGCATGTGATATGTTTTAAAAAAGTGATTTTTCATTGCATGTCAAAAGCTTTATCCAATAATTTATAATCAGTTATTCTATATGAATGCTCATATCGCATTAATATTGTGTTTTATAAAATTATGAACTTTTAGTAAATATTATTGGGTGTATAGCTTTAATTCGGGTATTTCTAGATCATTCCTCGCATTTATCATCATTCTCATCATCATTTTAAAAACAACATAAAACGAACTTTTAGCATATCTTTCTCACTGAATAAGTAGAATTAAAATTCGTATCACATTTGTGAATTCATTTGCATTGTAAGTTGATATTATTTTGATAATGTGTAGTGTTTCTACTATCCAACAACATTTGCTTGGCACTTCATTTATTTTCGTAAAGGTCAGTTGATAAACAGTGGTATCGAACGTATTTGTTAACTTGACATGTGGTGTATTGGTATAAATGCCATACTACTGATCTGAAGGTCTCAGGTTCAATACCTTACCAACACTTCGTTATGAAGATACGCATTTTTTTTTTTTTTTTTTTTGGAATTTACTTGCCAGAATTAATTTGAAATCGTTTTACTACATCTTGTTATAGGATACATTTTAACAAATGGTTTTTGATACAGTTATATTTTTTTATTTCATAACATTTTCTTTAATAAAATGTACAGCGAGTTTAAAATACAATAAAAGTACTACACAGATAGAATACACAAACAAAAAATTAAAAAAAGTTTTGCACAATTTTAGAGGGAAATGACAATTTTGAAATTAAAATAGGATTGAAATCATATGTCTGACCTACGAGTTTACGTCTATATTCTTGACGTACAATACCTTTACCGGCTTCCTAGGAGGGATTACTTAATTTAGACCATTTAACCTCTGATTTCATCAATATATCGATTTACAAGTAGATGGTAACTTTTACGGACTTTACCAATTATAGGGTCAAATGCAAGAGTGCCAGGTCTACATTGTTGGACAATACCCTTACAGGTTTATACAAGTTAAACGTATCATTACTTTTGTTTTTGTTTTTTAAAGTGTATATTTCATTTTGAAACAGATTATTTGAATACTTTTTTATCAATGCCGAATGGCCCCACCTTTGCCTGACGCATCATTGTAGTCCTTAATTTGTACAACCTAATGTTTAAAACATCACATAAAAAGATATAAACTTCTTTTATATTAAATGTGTTGAATCTATTTAATCGTTGTTTTAGAATAATTCATCGACACTACTTCAGCTATTCGTGTTCAACCATTAAGATAAGATAACGGATAGCCTTGGGAATTCCTTGGACAAGATTCAGATCACATTTGATTCATAAATTACGTTACCTATTAAAAATTATTCACATTTGATTTGCATATGTCTATCAATTGATGTGATACATGTTATAAAATGTATTAACATATATTAGCTATCCTCCGGTATCTCGGTGACATATTTTGTATGAGTGATTTATTACTAACCTAGTGTTAAGTACGGTGCCTTTAAGCAGTAAATACCTACAAAAGGAAAATGGTCCGTGCTGTTGTTGTTGAATCTTCAGAATAGACAAAATATGTTTAAGAAAAATATAAAAAAACACTAGTAAACTTTAGCTGAATACCATGTACATGTATGATATTTCGTAGTGAATATACATCAAATGTTATCATTTTACATTTCAAGACAGTCTGTTATCTATTTTCTTCATATTAAATAATCTTTGGAATGTTCAGAGAAATCATGCAAACATCCTGATATTCAAAACTGAAAATCATTTTCTTCTTATGGTCATTTTGAACGACTATTCTGTGCAATGATAAACAATACGTGCTTTCTCAACATCAAACGTGATCTGAACAATATGCATAAAACTTTTGAAAATACGATAGCAATTTCAACAAAAAACAGTTTTGCGAAAATCACAGATTGAATTTGTATAATTTTGTTTATTGAGGACGTCAATAAAAAAAAAAAGCTCTTACGATCGACTTATTTTCTGGTATTCAAATAGCTTTTCAATACATTATATATGATCCAGGGAAAATAAAGATAGCCTACAGAAAAGTCTTATGCTGTCTCCTTTCTTCATTTTCTTTCTTTTTTTACCCCTATTGATATTCTGTTGCTACGAATACATTTGCGTATTTGATTTCCTACTGTATTTCATTTACTGAAAAAGGTGATAAGATGATACCTGGAGCTATAAGACATTAGAACGAGCATTCATAAATTCTAGAGTTTGCTTTGTAATTCAAATATTATTACCTTAAGACTAAAACATGGAGGTTCTACAATGGTCACTTAAACTAGCTCCATCAAACTAGTTAGGACTTAAACGCCGCAAAATTGTAAATGATGTTCGCTCAGTTACTTTATGCCTTTTTTCATGGACAGTTGTAGTGATTGCAATCTCAATGGCCGAAGATGAATATAAAAAAGTATAAATGTTGTATGAATATAAAGACGATTGGTTCTTTTAAAATAAAAATGTTGTGTTCACAACTGCAATATGAATTTCAAGAACATCACAAAAATGGAAATTTGCGATCAGTTCCGGAATGAAATCTCTGTCAATTACATAATTCTCTTATAGCCATTTTTGTTTATGTTAACTGTGACAGATAAATCAACAGGTATCGCATAAGGTTTAAATATGTTTATTTTTATCAGGCGGTTTGAGGGTATTTTGTTATCACAGTGCTTGCTAAAATTAGATGAAAATATCAGCTCAATATTTGTGACAGGGCCTCCCAAAACAAAATTTAATGAATAATCATGCGTAAAAGTACCTTTAAATGGTGCGTTGTTCTCTTCAGTTATCTTGTATTCTTTAAGTTATTCGATTAAAGATGAATACGGTATATTTGTTTGCAATAGTCTGCTTTCTTGCTGTAAAAGTGGATGGACAGGCGGACTTGCCAACGGTAAGTTTGAACAATTCAATATTTATAAAACAAGTCTTATTGTTTCGTTTAATGTAATAGAATAGTTTGAAATTATTGTAAGTTTTACAAAAGTGCATTGTGTATATAATAACATTATGTCATATCTTTAATGTTGCAGGTGTTGGCAGTCGTTCAGGCAAATAGTGCTGTACTTATGAATATCCAGGACACCCAGTTACCGGTATGTTTTGTTTTGTTCTATGTTAGCGTTCTCAATGTGTGTAATGAACTTGTTCTGTTCTGACAATAGATCAGACTTATCGCATTTCGAAATACATAATTGACCTACCAACAGACAGAGCATTGTCAGACTTCACCGATGTTCAGGCTTGTCTGGACTTCCTGTTTTTGTTTGGGGTCCGCCTGGGCTCCTTGCCATTGGTTCTTGTTGCTGGGTCATATGGGGGTTGCGTTCATTGAACGCCGCCTTTCCTTGTTGATCTTGTTTATCATATTTTTTGATAGCTTATATGTTGTATGCAGGCTTAATAAGCTCTGATCCCCTTTCAAAATTTCATTTGATTTACTTTTGTCTATTGTTTGCCCGTTTAGTGCACATGAAATATTTTACTCGGGAACCATACGCCGCTTATCATGGAATGGCACTAACGTTTTTCATTGAAGGTTCCATGATAACCGACGTAAGAACACATCTGCGGATGTGCCTCAATTCAAAATATCACCTTTTCCATGTTTAAAATTTGAATTCTGCTTTAGCCGGTGATACGGGGCTTGGATAGTAGCCTGCATATTCCAGTACTGTCCATGAACAGGCTCAATCAAACCGAGCCTGCAACATTTTCAAATGTACCGTTTTGAACTTTTTAGGGATTCTATTTCATTCTAATCTATACAGATGGTAAAGGCAAATCATTGTCGGTTCGAACATGTTTCCCAAAACAATATTACGATGTGCTCTTAAGCTTTTGAAAACTTGTATACCAAATAGTTCTATCTTAAATAATATGAAAAATTCTTAACAGTCGACCAAAACGTTTATTAAGACAGATGATTTTGCAAACTGCAAAGCAAAATATAAAAAAAATAACGAATAACATATTTTTATCGGAACTATTTGAAATAAATCAAATTTGTTTTTTAATGTTGATTTTGATAATCATGACCAAAAAAAAATTTTAATAATAAAAATCAGGTGCAATTTCTCTCCTGTTTGTATTGATAAACATATCTTTTACAGTCGATTGTTAATCAACTAAATGCTATCAACACTGCTATTAGCACTCTTCAATCAGCGGTAAATGGTTTGCAAGCTTCTGATCGAGAAATTAATGGCAAACTTGATGGAATTGGGAAAACGGCCTCTGACACAAACACTAAAACTAACGAAATTCAAGGAACTGTGAACGACATGAACGGAAAAGTAGACTCTATCCGCAACCTTCTAAATTCGCTGAATGGGAAAACAGACGAGATAAAGACAACAACGGACAAAGTAAATGGTCAAACAAACTCCATACGTACTACTTCTGAAAATATTTCGGGAGACGTGGATAATATCGATCAAACAACTAAGGAAATCGCTTCTTCTACCAGAACCATTGAAGAGACAGTGACTGATACGAATAGAAAAAACGATGGCCTTCTTTTTGCTGTTCGAAGCCTGAGTGGACTGGTTCGATTGACGGATAAAAAGATGGATGAAACGAAACGATATTCTAACAAGAAATGTTAACACTCAAAAATCAACGACCTATGACAAGTTTTTTCTTGAAAACATTTTGTATTCATTTAAAACAAAATCAATGTGTGTATCTTAAATTGATTCCGACCTTTTCAAAAATAAGATATTTAATATATCTATAACCATATATTTTTTTTAGTTTTTCATGCTGGGATAAAACTTTGCATATTAGCTACAGTATGTCTTTGTCAACAACGTGTCAACCTCAACTCTCTCAAGAAAAACAAAAATACAATTATGATTTCACTGTAGCTGTCAATTGCATGATTATAATTCTAAATCTATATATTTAACTACCACTTTTACTTTTTTGCAAATTTTCTTTCTGTAATAAAATATATATCAATAAACACTGAACTGAACTGAACGATCTTTATTTATGTTATGATCCCTAAATAAGCGTTACGGTGGCGGCATGGCTGAGTGGTTAACGCGTCGGACTAGTAATCTAATGATCGCTAGCCGCATGGGTTCAAACCCTGACAGGGGCAAGTCGTTGTTTCCTTGAGCAAGAAACTTAACACTCATTGCTCAGTACTGGTTGGTTCCAGGAACGGATTCGGAAGTGTGTTTAAAAGCTAATAGCTTCCTACACAATCAAACTAAAATAAATTCTGTATAAACCAAATAAGCTTTAAAATTTATTTTCCTTTGGGGAATGAACATTGTTTTGAACTTAAACTATAAACTACCTACGTTTTGCTTCTATTTTGTTTGGTTTTAAATGACGCCGACATGTTTTAATGGGCGTTCGGTGACTTTCCAACTTTAATGGTAGAGGAAGAGATGAAGACTCTCGGTCCAACAACGAATGGGCACTTGACAAGTACCGCAGACGTTCAAGAAGCTAGCTTGACAGCTTCTTTGCATGAAAGAATTTTAATTTCTGGAGGGATTCAAACCAGCTTACCGGTTAATGATAAGTGATTTTATGTAAACAATCTTTACCATTCGCTCACGGCTTGTTCGGTGATAATAGGAAATTGATAAATGAAATTATGGTTTTCCATCCAATTGAATTACCTTGCATTAAAATATTTGGCTTTATACTACAAAATGTATTTATAATATGATACATGTAATAAAAAACTCATCGATTAGATGTTATAAAGTTCACGGGAGAGAGATACTGCAATTTTCATTATCCGCATTCAATGCGACCGGCCAGTTTTACATTTAATATCATGCTTTCAAGGGATTTCCTATTTCCTTAGTTGCTTGAATTTAATGAGCGAAGATATTTTTGTTCTATTTGAAGTTCTTTGCTGCAGAAAATATATTTAAAAAGGATACGCCTATCTCAAATGTTTCAATTGATTCAACTGAAGAAGCCTATAAAGCCTTCCGATATATTTGACTTATAACGAAAGAATTGCCAATTGAATAAAATATTTATATACATCGCAGAATAATTTTTCCTGAAGGCAAAAGGATTACAGCCATAGAATACTTTTACTGGAGAATGAATCGTCATAGAAAATGACTATACGTTTATTGTACAGCGCGAAATGGAAATATTTTTCTAAAATATATAAACATAAAAGATTTATTTCAATAAACACTTAAAGAAAAAGATATCCCGAGGATATACATTTTATTCGTTTCATATACCTTTGCTTGAGACATAAATGTTATTTATACTTTGTGCGAAAATGATATTTAGAATAATGGCCGTATTCATATTGGTTTAATAAGGATGTTTAGTCGGTCGATGGCATATATGGATTGATATTTTACAACCACTGTCAGGTCATGTGGCGACTTTTGAGCTAAATGAACGATGAATCCCTACAGTATTTTAAGCACTAGAACCAATGACATACAGTAAAGGACAGCTTGAAAGCTTTTCAAGACCATCTATTTAAATCTATTTCAATGTCACTGGCGAGTTTCGAAGCTAAAGTGATATATTTGAAGTATTTGATTTATTAGTTTCAAGTATTCCAACTTAAACACTGTATAATCACCGTTAGGATATGTTGCCTGATTTTAAACTTGTCTTTTGACATCATGTGTTCTCGTTTAAGGCTCGTTTAGGCAGTCGCATTCTTTAATTGGGGACCATACTCTGCTTTTAACATGTTTAACGGAATGGAACTTACGTGTCACATTAAAGGTTCAATGTTAACTGCCGTATGAAAACAACTGTGGATGTTTCTAAATTCAAAATTTCACAAATTTTGTGTTTAAATGTTGAATATTCTACTTAAGCTGGTGCTAGAGGGTTAATGGTAATTTGCAGTATCCAAATCCGTCCATGTACAATGTAAATCTAATGTACATATAAATTATATGAAAAAAACATAAGTATGATATTAATAAACCAACTATGCACGTTTTAAATTGTAAGAAAATTGTTTGTTTTCAACTATTTTTTGAATTTGCTTCAGCAGTACAACATGTCAATGTGATTTTATTTTCAAAGAGTGTTTGTTTGTTTGTTAGTTTGGTTGGTCTGTTTGTGAACTTTTTTTACGCCAGCCGATTTAAACACTTTTTTGGTCATATGGTTTGGTTTAATCATATTAATTTAAGCTTGATTGCGAAACAAGTTCTTGCAACTTTTATTTATCACTTTCGAGTCCGCTTCCGGGAACCGACCAGTACAGGTGTCATTTGAAGACATATGGTCGTGACCTGAGTAGGGCTCGAACCCATGATCTCTGCGTTTCGGTCATATCACTGCGTTAGACCCACCTCACCGGCTTTCCTGCATAACCCACCAGTAATTACCAACTTCTCGGCAAGTTACCGACTACTTACCCCCATAATATCTAAATAAGCAGTGAAAGACAAATGACCAAAAGACACAAAGTCCTAGATCAGTTATCAAGTTGAATTTCGCCTCACTTCTTTGTTCTTTTTCTCCAAAAATTTTGTTATGAAAATTAATGCAAATATTATTGGTTGCAGTAAACTCCGCTTATAACGAACTCATCGGGACATTCAAAATCTGTTCCTTATATCTGGAGTTCCGTGTAAGCATATAGCGAATAAATTCCTTGTACCAGGAGTTTTTATAGCGAACATATTTACATATAACGAACTTATTGTTTACCATCGTCCGCCATTTTGAAGAGAATTTGATCAAGACAAATAAGTCATTTATTTAATTTTTGGGCACAATACCCGGGAGCGTTCTTTATGGAAATTGAAAATCCTTTGCTATTTCAGTTTAAGTTTTACTCCCTTTTTTAATTTCTCATAAACTATCATATTTTGTTTCTTAACTCTGTGCTTTTCGTTTTATTTCAGTGATTAAGAATAAACAAGATTTTCGATTTTTCCTTCCTATAATATTGAGTACCTTCTATTGTATTTTAAGGGTGTCTTTTAATCATGATAGATATAGATTTATTTTCATTTCAATCAAGCGTACTTTGTAGTTTTCAAAGGATAGTGCTTGCAAGTATACGTGATTATGTTGAAAACCGATTTTAAATGATCAGTATGTTTTTACTCGAGTAAAACTATTAAAGAATAAATAAAAGAATAAAAGTAATAACCGTTTTATCTTGGTGACAAGAACTCATGCTAAAAATATCGTAAATAGAAAATTATTACGTACTGCTATACAAATTCATAGATGTTTTGAAGAACATACAACAATAACGAGTTTTAATCCGTGCCAATGAAAATGAAAGTTAAAAATGCGGGATCTATTTAGGAATAGCCGATATTTTGGAGTTCGTTATAAACGTGTAACTTTCTGTACTGTTAACTAAATTAGGACTAAGAATTGAGTTCCTTATAAGCGATAACTCCTTATAACCGTATTCGTCATAACCGTATATATTTATATTAAATAAAGAAGGGCGAAATTCGGGCCAAGATAAAATGTTCCTTATAACCGAAAGTTCGCTATAACCGTGTTCGCTATAAGTGAAGTTTACAGTATGTGGTGTTATTTAATTATTTAATCAACATTGTATGTATTCATTCAAAACAGAACATGTTTGGTTGCAGTCTTACATATTTATTGAATTTAATTTGCAATATGTAAATATTCAGAAATAAATCGTAATTTTGAAAATGGCTGGTTCGTAGATGAAATATCTTGGTCAGGTGTATCGTTCAAGTCTATCCAAACAAACATCTGGCCGTTTGAACTGTTTGTCGAGTGATTCTAGCGAAGTTGTTGAACATACTTCGTAACGTGTCCGTTTTCCTGTTTGTTTCAGAGGCCAAACTCTGAATGGAATCAGTTTGCGTCTTGATTTCGTTTGTGGTGTGGCTGGTAGAACCGATTCTTTCTGCAATATGATCAAAGGAAGACCCGATCGATTCCATGCTTTGTTCAATTTGGTTCGTCGTTCCCTTAACAGTATCGGTTTTATCATTGACTGACTGTGCAACTTGCAGGATAGAATCAATGTTTTCATTCATGTGATTTACACTGCTTTGTATTAAGCTGGATTTGGTGTTTGTATCTGTGAACGTACTGCCTAGATCATTTACTTTCTCTAAAATAACCCGTTTGTTGATGCCTGACGCATTGACTGCAATTGTATTTGCTATGTCTGAAATGCTGGAAACTTGCTGTGCAATCGTCTGAAACGTTAAGAAAAAAGTATCTTCAGGAAACATTGAGTTTAACGTAGATATCTATTGTTCCACAATAAAAAGTTATATTTATCTTAATATCATCAACTCGGGGAACAAATTTTAAATGATCAGTTTTGACAATTAATCAAAGTAGTATCATTTTTTTTAAGCGATATGAGTGTACGTATCGTTTAATGTATTGTGCAGTTTATCCTAGACGTGAATAGACTTCCAACTTGATTTCAAATGCAACACATACAGTAACACGAAATTTCCAAGAGAAACAAACATTATATGAAACATGATGTAGACGAAATATAGAAATGTCGCCATAGGCTTTATATTCTGAACATTTTAAACTTTCTCTCCTTATCATTAATTCCGTAATTATCTTTTCACGTGTTTACATTCAAAAGATAAAATAATAAAAAAAACATTTCCTATATGTTCTGTTTTTCTCACTTATGCAAAAAGTGGCATTATACCTTTTTTCAAAATCATCTACATAAAATAATGGAAAATAAAATTTAAGAATAAATTTTGTACAACACTTTTTCAAAAGTTCAAATAATATATGATACTTTTAATTGAAACGAATTCTAAAAGAAATTCAATTCAAGAGATTTTTACTTTCAGTTATTGTAATATTTACAATTTTTGGGTTTGTACAGA